GCACCTGGCCCAACCCCAAGTTAGCAGGAGACAAATATGTACTTTTCATTGTCTGACTCCTATGAGAAGAGGTAGAGGTACAACCAAGAGAGGTAAAGTGGTTATCTGCTTTCCATTCTCCTCTGGGAGGAGGTAGTTTGTGTACACAGGGAAGTCCCTTCTAGCCTCCTGAGAGAGTTTGATGAAGTACTCTGCAACCCTCTCCTGGAGGTTTCTAGCCATGGCTGCCTTATTTCTTCCTCCACACTAGAACACTCCATAGCACTGCATGATGACTTAGGCAGGCAACACTGCAATAAACAGGCTAGTTGTATACGGGCCTGCGAGGCATAGGGACGGAAGCAACAGTTGTGCTCTCTGTGCCTTTTGGAAGCACACAATGGTGGAAAATAGAGAGTTCTCAGTGCCACTGCCCAGAGCTCGTACGCATGGAAACAGGGGTCAAACTTAGGGTGTGTCTATACTACTATACCTGCATCTACACTACCGCCGAGTTCTGTCATACGCATGGAAACAGGGGCCAAACTTAAGGTGTGTCTAGACTACAGAGTTTTGTCGACAAAAGTGGACTTTTGTTGACAAAACTATACCTGCGTCTACACTACCGCTGAGTTCTGTCGACATAACGTCGACAGAACTCAGCAGTTTTGTCGACGCTGGTAAACCTCATTTTATGAGGCATAATGCCTTCTGTCGACAGAGTTCTGTCGACAGAAGGTGTTATTGCATGTAGGGCTGTGTCTAGACTACAGGGTTTTGTCGACAAAGCAGCTTGCTTTGTCGACAGAACTGAATGTAGTCTAGACGCTCTTTGTCGACAAAACTTCTGTCGACAAAACCCTGTAGTCTAGACGTACCCTTAGTATTTTGAGCCAAATATTCTCATACCTTTCCTTCTACCTGCAAATACATGTTAAACAAAAATGGAGCATGGCAGTGGCTAGCGAGCAGTACTGTGCAGAAGTGCTCCAAAGCTGGAGTGTCTCATTTAAAACTCTTACGAGAATATAGAAAGGAAGCTCTGAAACTTGTCCTTCACTTTCCATGGTGACTGTCCGTACAATAACACATCTGTCTGTATGATCTATAGCTGCTGCCATTGCAGCCATGGACTGATCCTGAGGCGAGACATGTGCACTCGGAAAGACACATTCACCTAGATCCTGCGCACCATTGCTGCACTGGACTGTGAACAGAGGACCTGGCAGCTGAATATAACAGACTCAGTTAAGCTTTCCCGTTACCATGGGCTAGCTTGCCAGCTAGAAGTACTTTATGTAGCAGCTGCTTTCTGAGAAGTCTGGCCTCTTGAGTGAGTTTTTGGGGTTGTAAGAAGAGTACTGAGGAACACCAGTGGTAGTTTGCTTTTAGGCATTTCTGGTAAGCCTGATTTCTTGGGTCTCATAGAATTATAGAACTGGAAGGAACCTGGAAGAGGGCATCCACGCCAGTCCCCTGCCCTTATGGCAGGACCTAGCACCATCTCACATCTTCAACCTTTTCAGTGGGGGGTAGGTTGTAACTTGTTGGGTGAGCTTGGTAACTTGGAGAAAATATTTCTTGGAGTATAAAATGAAACTGAAGGAAGGGTAGGTTCCACAACAAGGTCCAGTCTTTAGCATGCACTTGCACTGGGGAAAATTAAAGAAGACCCATTGCTTTCTTGAGAGCTGGGCCTCCCTGTTGGAGGCAGACCAGCAGCTAGTGAAGAAACTGCTTATTTTGGCCAGCCAGTTACCAGCGGAGTGGAATGGGGCTGTCTTTCTTAGGAAGAAGATTAACAACTCCGGCATGGGAAGAAAGGCAAGACATCATCTGGGGAGATAATGAATTCATCTGGAGATAGATCTAGGCCTTAGTTAGACTAAACCTGCCTTTGCGTATTCATGTCCTTTGCTTCAAATTGTCATGTACGGTTTTGTGTTGATAGAAGCTTGTTTTAGCGGTTGATCCACAAATAGAGCAAGACACCTACTGCAATCTCACCAACTCAAGAAGATCCCCTTTAGTTCAAGTAGTAGAGACCTATGATTTTGTAGATGAAATACTCAGCTCCCCCCCTCAACCAGTGTGCATTAAACTCTATTTGAATAATTGTGTCTTTTGCTAGCCGGAATGAATTCCTTACACCCTCTCAATAATATCCAGGTAACATCCTTGGATTCCCGTGGGGGTTATGTTCAGGGTAGATCTAAGAGATTTGTTGCCTTTAATGTCATTATCCTTGTCTGGCCAACACATTGGCTTGCTTTTCTTTTTCCCCTTTCATGCTCTTAGACTTGTAAGTCTCACTGCAAGTTTAAATATTTCTAAAGTGACTAGTCAAATACATAAAACAGATGCAGAGTTGCATCTTGGGATGAATAAATTGTGTGTGAGAGAGAACAAATGTGTGGGTAGGTCAGTAAACATGCTGGCTACACACTACAGCTGATTTTGAAACGTCTAGGTCTTGGACACAGTTTTTTCCTCTACATATTGAAATGAGCAAGAATATTTCTGGAACTCATTCTCTGCCAACTATCATGTTTTAATTTAAATCAAGCCACTTTTTAAGCTAAGGAGGCCAAAATGTCTCCAAAACCATTTAATGTCTATTTTTTCCCACTCAACTGTGTAACTTAAAATGGCCAAACTGATGTTTTCTTTTCTACATCAACAAAAGGAAGGGAAAAAATCCAGCTCCATAGACAGGCCTTTGGGACAAATTTCCAAACCTCATGCAGTGGGCAGGCAGTGCAAGATGCACATGCCTCTTATTTGGACAGCCCAGTATTTTTATGTGCAATATGGATTACTGGTGAGTAATTAGAAATGAAAGTCCGGATTTTGCTCAGACTTTTTAGAACAACTGGGGGCTGTCAGAGGCATTGAAAACTTGTCCCTGTATGTCAAGTTGCAGCAGGTTTTCATAGATAGGCTCAGATTTTCTGAATGATGTATGCAATCATGTATTGCAAGAGGCAGCTGCAGGGTGCTCTTATGAGAAAATGATGCTCATGGATCTGTAATACACACTTCTGAAAATCTGGGCTTAAGCTTCCAAACCCTTAACCTGTTTGCTCTTAATGGAAATGTGAATGTAATGATGAATCTATAAAGGCAAAATGGCACAAGTAATGGAATAAGCGTCTGGATAACAATAGCAATGCTAATGTCCATTTGGTCAGCTCATTCTACTTCGGCCACCTCCTTTGGTGATGGGACACAATAAATCGCTTCTGTTCCAATCATGGTCTCTGCTACTCCTTAGCAGGACCAGGGAGAAAATGAAATGCTAGTCTTATAAGCAGGGCACTGGATTGGCATTCAGGAAGTGTGGATTCAGTTCCCGGCACCAGCCTGGAATCCTAACATCACCTTGGGTAAGCTGCCATGCTTGGGCCTAGATCCATAAAGGCAGTTAGAAATCAGTAGGAGTTAGGCCTCTAAATACCTTTAAGTGATCTGGTTCCCTATCTGTGAGATAGGGTTACTTGTGCCTAGCTCCACAAGAATGTTGTAAAGATAAATTCATTCATTTTGAGGTATCCTGAGAGAAGCGTATAAATAGCTGTAAATATAAACCAATACAGCAACAAAAGTTTGATAAGATGAGGTGATTCCATCCCCATCTATGTATATTGGGCCAGTTCTATACTAGATCAGAAGGTTGGCTTAAGGTGCGCAACTCCAGCTACTTAAAATACATAACTGGAATTGGCTTCCCTTAAGCCGAGCTTGACCCCATCTTCACAGTGGGAGGCTGATGGGAAGAAATGCTCCTGTCGGCTTCCCTTACTTCTCACAACAGCGTGCAGTGCCAGTGCCAACCGGCGCCGCCCTTCTCACGACAGTGTGCAGTGCCAGTGCCAACCGGCGCCGCCCTCAGTGTTTGATTTAGCAGGTCTTCACTAGACCCACTAAATTGACTGCCGGCAGATCAATTTCCAGTGTGGCAAGCATCCATGGATGCTGGAACTAGGGGTGCTGCCACATCCCCAGACTTGAAGTGGTTTTATTTATATGCTGGGTTTACAGTTTGATTCAATGGCTCCTAGCACCCCCACTTTAAAAATAGTTCCAGTGCCTCTGGTTAACATATTCAGTGATGAGCTTAACAATTAAATATTTAACCTTTGAACCTGGACAATCTAGAAAAATGAATTAGTGCCCCATTCAAAATAAAGATCTTTAACTTTCCTTTATATTTCTATATAGAAGACCAAAGAATCTGCTACCCACTGAATCTCAGGTATAGTCAGTTTACCGTATTTTTCTTTTCTGCTTGAACGGTAAAGTAGTTGGTGGTCTCGAATGCTACGGCCTCTTAACATTCCTGGATTTTATTAGGATAACCCCATAAACCTGAAACACTCAACCTAACAGGAGCAGTAGCTTTTGTTCGACAATCACAAATTTCTTCTTGTACAGTGTTGGAGTCAAGAGGCATAAGAGGCATAATAGGCAAAAGGCAAAAGGCTTAAACCCTTTTTTATGTGTGCGAAGTACGTATGGGTGGCTCAGGGCATAATAGGCAAAAGGCTTAAACCCTTTTTTATGAGGGGAGGGAAGAAGGTAAGCCCGCCTCACAGTGCAAATATGTAAGACTACCTGATACATGAAAGGGTTTCATCCAGTCCCTGTTACATGTGGCAGAATCCTCAGAAGGTGTGAATTAGTGAAGCTGCACTCGTTTCAGTAAAGCTATACCGATTTACACCAATCAAGTCTATATCACATTTTTTGAGTCACTGGAACACCTTTCAAACTATTGGGATGTTAAGATATACCTAACGCATTCATGCAGAGTGGAAAGATGCATTTCCTGGCTATGCTTAGCCAGCTCAGCAATTAATTGTTCTGTCTGGTTCTTACATGCTCAGGATATAATGGAAGGGTACTCTTAATATCAAATGAAACTCCAACTTGGCTTATTATAACAGACTGACCTCATGGGATAAATGCTTAGTGAAGCCCATGTGAATTTACCCATGTACATGCCAATTTTATTAATAGAAATTGCAGCCATTTATCATTACACAATGTGCTGAAGAAACTTCCCTCATCTCATCTTTACCTACTTCGGACACCAGTGGTATTTCTATGGATATGAATCTCTGCAGTTCACCTTGTGCTATTAGGATTTTGGCTTCTGATATACTCCTAGAAACATAGGAAGAAAAAAAATCTCAGCTCTAAAGCTGTCATTGTAGTAAGTACTTAGTTACATGCTGAATCTTCACAGATGATTGCAGGGGCCACTATCAACTTTCATTTCCCAGTGTTGTATCAGGTATCTAGTATGGGGTACCCCCATCTACAGACCCAGCTGATTTTTTGGCCCCTGTTGCATGATACCCTAAACCAGTTCACTCTAGGAGCTACATGAGTAAGGTCAGTAAGAACGAAAGGTTCAAACATAACAAAACCTTGGACAGTATGACGACATTCATAGGAGGAATAGTCAGCTGCATGGAGGAGTTGACTGGACAATTTTATGTGCTAACTGTTGTACTTTCCAAAGGTTGGGCTGTTACAAACAAGTGTTGTCATACTCTCTCTAATTCTACGCATGCACAAATGAGCATTTACATTTTTAAAACAATTTTTCTTCTTTCCCCGCTCTGCTTCTTTCACAAAGACTCTCTGTATTTCTTATTTCCACTTGCGCACTCACCCTTGTTCCACCTTCACATCACTCCTTTTTTCACCCTACTGAATCTTTTTTCTATCTTCTTCTTTCCCACAGGTTGACCTAAATTGAATTTAAATCCCAGTCACATCCAACTTGAACTTTTAGATTGGATGCAAGATTAAGCAAAAAGCTCATTATCAATAATACATAAAATGGCTACAGATAAAAATGTATTTAGCAAGCCATAGAATTCACTCATGGTAGGATTTTCAAAAGTTTTCTGCATTGGCTCAACTCCAATCCCATATTGGGCCAATGCTAAAAGGGGAGTTGTTGGAAACCAGACCTGAAAATGTTAAACTCATGAATTACAGTTCAGAAATAATTCCTGGAAGGTATTACATTCACCTGAAAGGCATACCTTATAGTAGTTTATCAATACCAGTGTGGCTAATGGGTCTGATTTACTAATAAATTCAAAATTCATATAATCTACAAGTCTCTACTCAAGTAAAAAGTAGAATGGACTAGCAATGGTATTTCATATAGGATTATCATATATTCGATACACACATACGCAAACACAGGTAATTCTGTGTCCTCATTTTAATTACTTAACTTTATGTAACTAAGGCAAAAAAGCAGACGTTCCCTAGAGAGTTTGGTAAGAATTATTCTATATGAACTTAAATATATTATACTTTAATAGTTAGACTTGCCAATAATATACTACTACTTATAGAAAATATTAATAATTAGTTTATTATTTTCCTTAAATGTAGGGCCTATAGTCCCAACTGAAATTAGAGACTCGGTATGTTAGGTGCTGTACATACATAGTTAAAAACAGACCCCGCCCAAAGCAGCTTACAAGCTAAACAAGACAGCAAAAATTAGTATTATCTTCATATCATATACAGGGAACAGACACCACAATGCAGTTCTCTACTACTTTATTTAAGTTGCGTGTTGGAGTAACCGTTGAAATCAGTGGCATTGCTAGTCTAATTAGATGTATCCAGAGAGAACTGGCCAACACTCAAATTCTATCTGCTTCCAAATGGATTCATAAATTATATCCTCCTTTTTGGAGTGTGCAGGGGAGCCTCTCTAAGAAAAGGGGGATTTCTTCCCCCTCCTCCCAGAAGCCTCCAGGACCTTTTGTTGTTAGTTAATTCTATATGGATGCCTTGGAGAGATGGACTTCGAGCCCAAGGTGAAATAAACAGCTCAACAAGAAAGCTAAGGGCTTCAGCTTCACTGTCTTCCTAATACTGTTTGCAATTTATGGAAAACGCCTGTAAACACAGTGCAACACAGCAAGCCCCAGCTGCTAATATGCTGACTAAACTGCTCAGAATATTAGTTTTCCCTTTGGTTTCCATGGGTCATAACTTAAACTTTTGACCTTGCTGCTTTTCTGTGCCCACTCCTAAGCCTTGTCCCTTTCCAAATGTTTAATAGCCAAATTACTTTGTCATCCAAGCAGCTGGAGACAGGGGCACGCACTTAAAAACCTCTTCTTTACACAGCTGAGAGTGTACTGTGTAACATATAACCTAAAAGCTTAGAAAACGCTGTCGGCCTTCCATACAGCATGAAATATTCTGCACCCTATTGGGCAGGGTGAAATCGATCCAGGTTACAGAACTGACAGCAGACAGTTCCGTGGGGGTATACGTCACCCCATAAGATATTTGCTAGGAGGTGGCTCGGGTTTTTGATGAAACCGTACTAGCACTGGGGCATTGCTAATGCATGCCTTTGATTTCTGTTTATGGCCCCCAAGTTGAGTGATCTCTCTTATTGGCACCAACTTGGCTATTTTTAAATGATGCAGCAGCTGGCTCAACACATAGTTCAAAGATTTATGCTTATGTCAAAAAGGTTTCTGACTGGATGAGAAATTCTGGACTACTGTCTACAGCTCATACCATACACAGACATAGTCTCCGTAATTTGTCCTAGTCCATCCCAAGCAGAGATGTTTTAAGAGCTAAAAGGAGGCATTGGCATAACTGAGGCATGGCAAATCAGTAGCAGTGGTTTAGAATGGGTTAGGATTCCACCCGTCATTCTGTAGTAAGAGGAATGATCCGGGAGTTCATTTATTTTGAGAGTTCTTGGGCATACATCCGAAGAATGACACTGCTCCTAGAGTTTGGGACATGCCCATGTTATAAAATGAAATAAATAAATGGAAACAGAGTTAATCACAGAGTTACAAATCTGCTAGGGCTTCTGCATGTGGGGTCACATGTAAGGCTGCTAACGTTTAGGTCAAAGCAAAATAGTAACAATTCTGGCCATCAGGCTGGTAGTGGACATTCCAAAAGCCCCTGAAATCAGGGGGGTGGACATTCTGAAACCCCCTGAAATCAGGGGCCGGTTTATAAAAGATGTTATGCTACTTTCGTGTCTCTTGCAGAACCACAAGACACTTTATTCATGCACTTCACCTGACAGCACTTAAAAATTAACAGAGACAATGTTGACATGAAGAAACTCAGAATCATGTTTGGCCTGGTTTGCCTCCCCAGTTCCACTAGTCTAAACTTGGCATGTTATTCTCATTTCAAGAGCCCAGGACACAGAACTAAAACTGCATTAGAGGCACTGATGGATGATCTCCTCCTGTCACTGGAAGGAGGACAGACGTCCATTCTCATCCTCCTGACTGCTCTGTGGCATTTGACATCGTTGACTATGATACTGTTGTCTCACCTGAGAGAGGACACAGGAGTCCAGGATAATGCACTGAAGAGTTTCCAGTCCTTCCTGGAGGGATGCACCCAAAGAGTAATGAGGAAAACTGCATATTCACCTCTAGACGAGCACTTGTAGGGGTTCCACAAAGATCGGGTCTCTCTGATTCTTTCCAGCATCTACAAGCAATCACCAAATGAACTGCTCAGATGACACACAGATTTAAGTGCCAGCAATATAAAGATGACATCTCCCTGCCTGTCCTTTACCACATACAATCATAGAATACTAGAACTGGAATGGATCTCGAGAGATCATCAAGTCCAGTCTCCTACTCTCACGGCAAGACCAACCACCATCTAGATCATCCCTGATAGTTGTCTGTTTAACCTGCTCTTAAATATCTCTAGTCATGGAGATTCCACAACTGGAAGTTTAGGTTGGATATCAGGAAAGACTTCCTAACTGTCAGGGTGGTTAAACACTGGAATAAGTTGCCTAGAGAGGTTGTGGAATCTCCATGACTAGAGATATTTAAGAGCAGGTTAAATAGACATCTATCAGGGATGGTCTAGATCGGGGTGGCCAACCCACAGCTTGCAAGCTGCATGCGGCTCTTCACCCCGAAAGTGCGGCTTGCAAAGCCTCCCCCGCGGCTCATGAAGCTGCCCCATGCACCCCTACAAACGGCCCTCAGCTCCCTGTGCTCTCTGGATGCAGGGGAGCCATCCGGCGCGGCAAAATGGTGTTGGCAAGATGGCATCAGCTGGTGGAAACCTGATGTGGCCAAAAAGCCTAACCCATGGTTTTTAAAGGGGGCAGCGTGGTTTTTTTTTTCTTAACAGCTCTGGCTAGTGGGAAGCTCTTCCTCTCCACTATTTTGGCTCTCTTCATTTAATAGATGGTACTGGGTCCTGCCGTGAGGGCAGAGGACTGGACTAGATGACCTCTCGAGGTCCCTTCCAGTTCTAGTGTTCTATGATTCCTTGGAAACTGGAAGAACTAGGGCCACCAAATTTGGTAGGCAACTTCCTCTTACCCTAACTTAAAGCAAGGTCAGGGTTTGGTTGTACCAGGAAGATGGGAAGTGCCTGGCATGGCAATGTTTTCCAGAAAATGGAAAGGGAGGGGCAGAGAAGAGGGACGCAATACTACAGCTGCACCAGCAGGAAAATGAACAGCTGGGAACAGAGCTCCATGTGGCCAGCCAATGGACTAGGTGAGTGGTTGCCCTACCCCAAACAGTGCCAGATAGTGGGGAACACAACCCGGCCCCCATCCAGGAGAAGACCCCTCAGCAGAGCAGAGGAGAGACCCTCAGCCGATTACCTGATCCCAGACAGGTTGCAGGCTTGGAGGAGGAGGTAGCTGAAGGCCAAGGCTGGCCTCTGGAGCTTTGGTCCTTCCCATAGAGACGCGGCAGGCTAGGAGTCACAGCCAGCCCTTGGAGCGCTGCCCCCCCCCCCCCCCCCCCCCCCACACGGCCTTCA